TTAGCTGACGCTGGTTTCCTGAAGGCCGAAGGCAGAGGAGAGGTGAAGTTACAGACAGAACTTTGTACCTTGGTGTTGTCAGATGTACTGTATGTACCGAAAATGAATGGCAACTTTATGTCCGTCAGCCGGTCAGTGCAAAAGAACAATGTTATACATTTTGGGCCACATTTTGCTAAAGTTATACAAAACGGCGAGTGTATACTGAAAGCGAATAAAGTTGGGAACCTTTATATGTTTCAAGGCAAACAAAATAGGTGTTATTCCGCAACTGAATCAGATGGTACATTGTGGCATAAGCGTTATGGCCATTTAAATTTTACCAGTCTGAAGGAAGTGATCAGCAAAGAGCTAGTGCGTGGTATTGGAAAGGTTTTTTTCCCAGACAACTTGAATTGCAAAACGTGTATGCTAAGCAAAATACATGTACAGCCATTCCCAAAGGTAAGCACTAACCGTGCCGAAGAGCTGTTGGAACTGGTTCATGCTGATGTATGCGGCCCATTCGACACGAAGTCACTTGCTGGATCCAAATACTTTCTGACCTTCATCGATGACAAGTCCAGGCGTATATTTGTTTATTTTTTGCGGAAGAAAGATGAAGTGTTCAGTAAGTTCGTCGAATTTAAAAACTTGGTTGAACGGCAAACAGATAAAAAGCTCAAATGTATTCGAACCGACAATGGAGGCGAGTTTGTCAACACAACATTCAACGGTTTCCTGAAACACCATGGTATTGCAAGGCAATTGACCGTGGCTTATACTCCGCAGCAGAACGGCGTGGCGGAAAGAGCAAACCGGACATTAACGGAGATGTCCAGATGCTTATTGGTGCAGTCGGGCCTAGGCGAGTCTTTGTGGGCCGAAGCAGTCAACACAGCAGTATACATAAGAAACAGATCACCTACCAGTGCACTGAACAACCTGACTCCAATGGAAGCGTGGACAGGTAAGAAACCCTGTGTTAGCCATCTAAAAGTTTTTGGTTCCATTGCAGTTGCACTTGCAAAGGGTCCCCGTAAAGGCAAATTCAAACCCAAAGGGCATGAGTACCGTATGGTTGGGTATTCGGTAGCAGCCAAAGGCTATCGGTTATACGACCCAGAGACGAGGACGATTGTCGAAAAACGAGACATTCTATTTGATGAGCGTTGTGGTGGTCATACCAATGAAGATACCGTTACGGTAGATTTTCCTGCATGCGAGGTTCAAGAGCATGTCACTCACACGGATGGTGACAGAAGCATCGACGACGATGACAGTGAGCACAGTTCTGACGACAGCAGCTCCAACGCATATGAGAGTGCAGTCGAAAAAGAAGACTCTGACGAGGATACTGTGAAGATTGGGCCAGGCCGGCCTAAAATTGTTCGAAATGGTAAACCTGGTCGTCCAAGAAAGCAATACAATGTGCTTGGAGCATTGGTTGCTAGTGACGTAATGGTTCCGACATCCTATGATCAGGCCGTTGGTAGCACACATGCAGTATTCTGGCAAGAGGCGATGCAAAAGGAATATCAGGCACTACAATCAAACGAAACCTGGCAGATGGCTGATTTACCAAAAGATCAGCGAGCAGTTGGTTGCAAGTGGGTATACAGCCTGAAACGTGACTCTGATGGAAAAGTCGAACGTTTCAAGGCACGACTCGTTGCTAAAGGGTGCTCCCAGAAGTATGGCGTGAACTATGTAGAGACGTTCTCACCCGTTTGCAGATTGGAAACCGTGCGGTTTATTTTGGCGTTAGCAGCGGAATTGAAGCTGTACCTTCACCAGATAGATGTGTGTACCGCCTATTTGAATAGCGACCTGCATGAAACTGTTTATATGAAGCAGCCACAGGGATACACAGATCCCAATAATCCAAGTAAGGCTTTATTGCTTAAAAAGGCAATATATGGATTGAAGCAGTCGGGGCGCGAGTGGAACTCCAAGCTCGATTGTGTACTACAAGGCATAGATTTTGTAGCATGTGAAAATGAACCGTGTCTTTACAAAAGGAACGGAAGAGGTGACTTATCATTAATCCTTGTTTATGTTGATGATATAATTATAGCATGCCGATCAAAAGAGGACTTGGCCAACATCAAGTCAGCCATTACAACATCGTTTGAATGTGTTGACAAGGGAGAGCTGCATTTGTTCCTTGGCATGGAAGTGCAGCGCGACGGTGAGCTTGGCGAAATTTCGCTAAGCAATTCGCAATACATCAAAGACATATTGCGTGAACATGGATGCGAGACCTGTAGACCTACAGCGACCCCACTGGATGCTGGTTTCCAAGTGATATGTACCAGCGAGCATTGTCAAAAGGTTGACATTGCATCCTACCAGTCTTCAATTGGCGAGTTAATGTGGCTGGCGCTTACAACAAGGCCAGACATATTGCATTCCGTTGCCAAGTTAGCTCAACGGAATCAAGATCCGCATGCAGAGCACCTAGTGGGTGTAAAACATGTGCTTCGATACCTGGCGTCAACTGTGGACCTGAAGTTGCACTACAAAGAGTGTGGACAACCCCTTACCGGCTATGTGGATGCAGACTGGGGTGGCGACCGCATCGATCGCAAGTCGTATACTGGCTATGTATACTACTTGGCTGGAGGACCCATATCCTGGCGATCTGAAAAGCAACGCAGCGTGGCACTTAGCAGCACGGAGGCGGAGTATATGGCTCTTTCAACTGCGTGTAAGGAGGCCATATACCTACGGCGTCTTATAGTGGAGATTGGCTGCGGTGACTCGAGTACTCCAACTATTCTTCATGGCGATAATTTAAGTGCTCAACAATTAGCTAAGAATCCTGTACACCATGAAAGAACAAAGCATATTGATATTAGATATCATTTTGCAAGACAGGTTGTAAACGAAGAACAAATTGTTTTACAGTATACATCAACCAATGAAATGATAGCTGATATTTTAACGAAAAATCTCCCTAAAGCGAAGCATGTTCATTTTACAAAGCTGTTAAATTTGATTTGAAAATTTTTGTAAAACATGTTTGCATTGAGGAAGGGTGTTGAAAATCAATACAAACATAAGTACCAATGCACGCATGTTAATATAAGCAGATAATAATCTTATGTTATCTACAAGTTATCTGTCACTGTTGCATACGAATGTAAGCATAAAGAATATGTATAGCAAAAGTGTCAGTCTCCAATAAAACTCTAAAGCGAACAGACGCACGGCGGTCCGCGACTATTGTCTTTTACTTTACTCCTACTGAGCCCTTCCCTTTTCAGCGAATATATAATCTATTCAATAATATTTAATATGGTTCAACATTAAATTGAATATGACATACTTTAATGACGAAGTTTTACATTTTGTTTTGAATAATATTCATATTACAATCACTAATTGAATATGTTTTTAGTAAAATTTACGATGTTTATATTTGATTTGAATATGAAATAGGTGAACATTAGATTTAATATGAAAATATTCATTAGTACTATGCAACTTTTTTATCAGTGTATGTACATATGTGTATAAGAGTAAGAGTATGTATGTAAGTGCGTTGGCAACATCTTGTGCTTCGTCCGGTTCAATGCCCATTGCAGACTGAAAAAAAACTGATGACCCATAGGTGGCTGGTGCTGGGCAGTCCGTCTGCGATTGTGTGTAGTTGCTTTTTTTGACACTAATGCCAACCGAAATGCTTTTAATGATCATGTTGTCGCTCAAGTTGTCTATTGTCTTTGAACTTGTCAGCAACAAGCATTTACACGCTGCTTCGTCATCAACTTGAACGATGTCTGGGTGGAGCTTGAACCATTACTCGAACTCGAACTCAACAGCAAATATTTGACGAGAAAAAAACAGAATGCATTTTCCAAAAAAAAGAAATTTATTGTTTTTAGCATACACGTATGGCTGATATGGAAATTGTGTACAAGATTGATTGAAAGATATAACCTGTTTGAGAGTAAATAATTTGCAAATTAATTGTGAATGTCGCGTTATGTTAATACAAAACAATACGATATATACAAAAAGAAAGTTGACTAATAACCAATTTTTATAACAATCGATACTTGCAGTTCAATACTGAAGACTTTTCTAAACCGATTTCAATTGAACTAAACCATAGTTGCCTTCCTAGTTTTCTTTGTTTGATCTTATCTTAACCAATTCCATTGTTGGTTTCTTAAGAAAACAATATAAATTAAACTTTTGATATTTTTCCAATAGCATTTATCTGAATGCTTTTTGTTGTTCCAATAAGCAGATTATTGTGAAAGCAAATTTCGACTAATTTTTTGTGGTTGGTAAAGAGAGCTTTAAATAGGGTTTGACTCGGTTTTTTTTTTGCACGTAGACTGTTTGTTGATGATGCTAGAAATGAATAAATGAAAATGGGCAGAAAATAATGCTGGTATTATTTTCTTAGAATTGACCAATTCGGATGAAATTCAAAACAAAACTATAGAATTGTATATAGATTATGTGTGCAAAGTTTGGTTAATGTAGCTTTTGAAATGTGGACAGTATTGACAAAATTCTGTAGCGGGGGAATGGGGGAAAATTTCAAAAAATAAAATAAACTCATCCTTTCCCGGATCTAGAAGAATCTGGATACAAACTATGGTTATTTCAGCTTTTATTGTTTTTGAGATCCTTGCGTTCATCCAGACATTACGAATATATATATACTTTATGGGGTCGGAGATGCTTCCTTCTGCCTGTTACATACTTTGCACAAACCTAATATACCCTTTTTACCCTACGCGTACAGGGTATAAAAATACAATAAGCTTAATAAGGTATCTCACCGAAAGACTAATCGATTTTGTAATAGTTTCTCTAAAATATCAAAGAAGTTGACTAATAAAATTAGTAACAACCACTAAGCTTTGACGGATAATCAGTTATTATATTTGTGGCAGTTATCTAACACTTGGTATATAACTTTTAAGTTATATAACTTGCATCAGGGATTACTTTGCTTAATTTGTTTTTTATTTGTTTTCCTAAAACCGTCAAGACTAAACTTTGATTGCTTTCATACCGTTTTATTATCCGAAACATTTGACCCTGACCAGTATATCAAAAGAAACACATTCTCTGTTTTCCTGTGCCGTCTTCGAAAGTTTGCACTTCCCGCAGAATGGTCATATAAGTGTCCCCTGATCCAATCGAATTTGGTGCTGGATGCGCAATAACTTGCGATGCACTGAGACAAAAGATTGCATGGATGCCGTCAGATTTGCATTCAGCGCCTCTCTGACATGCTTCACTGTGCTCAGCTGATAGATGTTGTTGGTGGAGATCATGCAGGTGAGTTCGTCATCGCGATTCTCCAACAGTCTTAGGGTGTTCTCAATTTTGTTTATACGGCTCTTGAGCTCATCCTTCTCGGCACTTAGTTCGCCTTCACGCAACTTTTGTTCATATATAAATTCCATTGGCTCTTCAGGCTCCACGGAAAAATCTTCCTCCACTGACATATTTCTTGAGTGGGGTTTGTTGGTTAGGATGGAACAGGATGGGGTGAATTTTGTATTATCTTTAATTTTGCGTGTACAAATTTTGAATTGAATTATTTTGTTCAGTTATGTCATGACGAAATGTGACTTAGTATTCAAATGTTCGCCCTCCTTCTCTACTCTCTCTCTCTCTCTCTCTCTCTCTCTCACTCTCTCACACACTGTCGTTTTAATTATTATAACTACAATGGTTTCGTTGGAAACATAAAAGCCTAGCTTCCATTTGCACCTTATCAAATGTATCAGAAAATTCCATTGATTCCGCTGATTGGCTTCCCCATATCGTATAGCTAGCTCGGTGGCAACCTTACGCATAATAGAGGTAATTTATTAAATTTCAGTGTGTTATCAAATTTATATCACAATTAAGTCGCGTTCGCTGTCTTCACACCTTTATCGCGCCACTGAGATCAGGTGGGCCGGGTACCTGCCGTTTCGTCGGCCAATCCCAAACAATGGAAATCATGCCGAGCTTCTACAACAATGCCAAGCTAATAATACTAATTTATGCAAACCTCCGGTTCCACTCGCTTCATGATAGCCTCACCCCATCCATGGGTCTCTGGTTGCGACATGTTTAAACAAAATATTCTATGAAAAAGGTTTCGAACAATAGTTTCGAATTGTTTTTGATTCGACGCCTTTATTTACTTATACCTATGTTAGTGTATTTATTCTTGCTGCCAACACAATTTTGACTTATGTAAATTCCTATAATGGCCTTTTGTTGTTTAATTTTATTGTTTATAAATGTGCTAAATGACAAAAAGAATTATTAAATATTTAAAATATTTTCCTAAATATTTGTTTTTAGCACTTATTTGCTTTGATGATGTGCGACTGAAAATTAAGTTACAGAAGAAAGCTTGTCTAAAAGATTGAAATAAAATGGAAATGACTATTTTAATTAATAACTGTCATCAAAAATTGAATAGTGATAATTTGCTTAGCACATTATATTTGTTTGTGCTTATATTTAAAGCCCACAGAAGAAATGACTTAAAATCTGACTCCCATTGACATTTCGATATGAGAGACTGTGATATCGAGAAAAACTTTTTACAGCATTAAGTTCTTTTTACAAAGATTATATGTTTAATTGAACTAATTGAAATGAAGCGAATCAGTAAATGCTCTTATTTTTAGTTGATTATTATGTCTTTTGAAGTTGTATTTCATAAATTAACATTTGGCTGCATCATTATTGATTTAATCCCAATTATTTAACTGAGCGAAAGTAATTAAATGTAATTGTTTATATAGTTTATTTATTTATCAAAAAGCGCGAAATTAGTCAATTGTACTTTTTTTGATCAGGCAACGCAGTGGCATCTTGTTTAATGAAATTTGATAAATATAGAATTTAAATAAATCAGAAACAGTTTCTTCCAGGGACTGTAATCATTATTAAATTACAAAATAATGATTATTTTTTAATTTTTTTCATTTACTAAAAATACTTTAAAAATTAAAGAATAAATATTATTATTGAGCAATAAAATAAAACATAGAAAATAATGATTATGCTTTGAGTTTTATTTTTTTGATCAAAAATAATATTAACTTTTTCTTAAGGATAAAAATTAAAAAATATAAATCATGGTCAAAATGGATAGATAATCTTTAAAAGAGGATATCTGTAAAGACGCCGCTTTCTCAAAGTCACTATAAGAGAATGATTTTTTCGTTTAAAAATAAGAAAATAATCATTATTTTCAGTCCATGGTTTCTTCTGTTCTTCTTTCTTAAACTGGAATCTCCATTTTCATTTGTCTACTTAATCAAGCAAGTTTATATTTATTATTATTTCATTTTTTTGGCTAATCATAGGACAGTATTTGGTCCATTTTTCAGTTCATCTTAGACCACTAAGGAACCACTGTAGAACTTTTCATGTTTTATGTTTAAATGACAATGAGTTTGCTTAACCGAATTTATAAAGGTTTTTTCTAAAGATTCAACGTGTACCTTAAACTTTATTCTATCTCTCACATTTTCAATTGGTGAATAGTTTTATGCATAAATTTGTTGACATTTTTATTTTTGGCATTTATTTGAAGACCACACACGCCAAGAACAGATAATCCGCTTGGGTATTCACAGTAGAAAATGTGTATAGGAAGGGATTTGCAAGCACACCCTTCCTATTAAAGTGGGTTCAAGATGATTTACGAGTATATATGTATATATACGTACATACATAGCAGGTTGGGTCAGTCGTGTGCTTTCATATACATTTCTATGGCATCGCTGTTAGTCATAAATTTTGAATTCTTTTAATACGAACCATCAATTGTGTGGATGACACCCACGACAGACAGAGCCAAAAGAGCTCAAATTAAGTTGAAATGAAGATATTAGGCGCATTGCTGCCAACAAGAATGAAAATATAAGGCGCGTCAATCCAAAATTATGTTTGTACGTAAATATGTCTGCCCTATGATCTGTTATGGCTTCTGGATTAAGAGACCACACCCGACTATGTATGTACATGGATGTTGTGTTTCCATACAATTAGCTGTAATTGTAAGAGAAATTGTTGTTTGTACTCATGCCTCTTAATACTTGTATATGTATATGTATATTTTTTAAGGGGATTTTGGCCAAAGAGAAACAAAGCCACAGTAAAGTTGTGTGTGTGGTCCGTAAATGTTTTGTATGATTATTTTATTTTGGGCAAGGGCCTGTAAACGCAAATCTGTGTTGTAAATCAGAACTCGTTTTTTGCTTTTTTTTTTTTTCTTACATTGAAGAAAAGTGCTTAAGTTTTACAATTTCTCGAGGCAACCGGTTTGTGATATGCAAAGTCAACATAGTAGAGAAAAAAGTGGCACAAATCTATTAGCGTGCAATGAAATGTGTAAACAAGTGGACATGGGTACACGGTCCAGTAGTTCGTTCGGCAGATGCCCTGCAACCCATCAACCCATCACAGGCTGGAATGACAACGATCTAATAAAGAAAGTTTCTACTTCTATTAGCAAAAGGGTACGAGTTGCTGATTATTTACAATCAAGTCTCACATCAGCTCTGAGACAAGTACATACTTGTATGTGCCCGAATACTTGTAGTTGTTCTAAGAAATCCAACAAAATAATTAGATCGGCATGACGATGCACAAGTTGAATTAAAACTCTTTCCTCTCCAATGTGTATATCTTTGATAGTTTTTTAATGTTTGCCAAAAAAAAAAGAGTTTAAATTATTGTTGTTATGACTGACAATGGCGCTTGGTGTGGCTGTAATTGAAAGTTGTTGAGTGCCAATTGAGCGGCTCTGGGGGTAATGACTGGCTGTTGGTCAAAGGAAATGGGCAATTTGTGTAAAGTGGCAAACGCAAACGGAAGTGATAAAAAATGCAAACATTTTACACTTGCGGTTTGGAAGTCAATTAAAAATGTCTACGCTTTGGAAAATCATCTGTTAGATACAATGAGGCACCACAAATGCAATTATCATTTGCCAAACAATGCGATATGTAAAAGCAACAGGGTTTTACAAATTGTTGAATATACGTACATATAGTACATACATATATCTCTATATATATAAAACTGACTGACTGATTGGAAATCAACCCACAGCCAAAACGGTAAGAGTTAGGAAGCTGAAGTTTGGACTCAAGTATCCATTCATAGTATCCATCACAGTGTAGGTGCGCACTAAGGAAGGCTTTTGGAAAGTTCGAGTTCCAAAGGGGGGAAAACGAGCTTAAAAAAATATTAGTTATAGTGGTCATGTGTGTGTATGTTTAACGAAATATTTCGACAAGAACAAAAATGTAACGGACTACTGAACAAATTTTTGTCAAGAACAGAAAATGTTCATTTAAATACCTTAAATGCCTTTCTACTGGTAATTAATAAGGTGAAAATATATGGGTAGGTCATGCACACACAAAATAAATACAATTTGAAACATTATATTTAGCCGGGTTAAGGCGGGCAACACCTGCTAGTGTATATATATATGTTTTATGTTCACACCATATTAATTACATAAGTTGTATTTTTATACCCTGTACCCAAAGGGTACAAGGGTATATTAATTTTGCGCGAGTGTACATGGAACACACAGAAGGAGGCGTGGTAGACCCCACAAAGTATATATATTCTTGATCAGCATGACAAGCCGAGTCGATATAGCCATGTCCGTCTGTCTGTCCGTCTGTCCGTCCATCCGTCTGCCTGTCTGTCTGTATGAACGCAGATTTGATTTTATATTATGTTACTTCTGGGCGATGTTATACGTACATTTCACAAATAAAGCTGACAAATATTCATGAAATATAGTTATTATTTTGACGTCAATTTTCGTTAGAAAAAACGATAACTTTATGCATTTTAAAATTAATCAACATTCCATTATTTTTATACCCTGTGCCCAAAGGGTACAAGGGTATATTAGTTTTGTGCGAGTGCACATGAAACACACAGAAGGAGGCTTGGTAGACCCCACAAAGTATATATATTCTTGATCAGCATGACAAGCCGAGTCGATATAGCCATGTCCGTCTGTCCGTCTGTCTGTCCGTCTGTCTGTCCGTCTGTCTGTCTGTATGAACGCAAGGATCTCCGAAAGTATAAGAGCTAGCATAACCAAACTTGGTATACAGATTCTCCTGAAACCGAGAAAGGACGAGTTTGTTCATTTTTTCCAATGCAGCCCCCACTCCCCCCCTATTACCGATTTTCTATAACTCCCTTAATTCTTAGAATTTTTAACTAAAATTTGGTAGACACATTCATATAGTGATTATATATCCGTATAATAAATTTCGTTATGATTGGTTGATCAGAAAGGAAGGCTCAATGAATACATACAAGTACATATGTACAAGTACACAAACACGCATAGATTCTGATGTAAATGTATGTATGCATGTATGGAATATTTTATATTTAATTTAGTTAATTAATTAAATTAAATTAATTTATTAATTAAATTAATTTAATTTCTTTTTTTGTGAGGTGGTATAGGGTATTTAAGAGTTGAGCCTGCTCGACTTTAGCATTCCTTTCTTGTTATGCTTAGTATATGCGTGGCTTTTAAT